TAATTGACCGGGCGTTCTTGTATTAATGTAACAAGTCCCATTTGATAATTGACCGGGCGTTCTGTATAAGTGTAGCAAGTCCCATTTATAATAATTGACTGGACGTTCTTGTATAAGTGTAGCAAGTCTCATTTAATAATTGCCCCGACGTTTTGTATTAGTGTACATAGCAAGTCCCATTTGGTAATTGACCGGACGTTTTGTATTAGTGTAGCAAGTCCCATTTGATGATTGATCGGACGGTCTTCTGTTAGTGTAGAAAATGCCATTTTATCTTTGACTGAACGTTTTTGTATTAGCGTAGAAAGTGCCTTTAAAAAAAGCGGACGTTCTCATATTAGTTACATTGAAAAATATAAATATGGTAACTACAATAAGAGTTATACGTAAATATTATCTATTATAAGTACATATTCAGTGACTATTCAGCAAATAAGCATAACAATTATTTGATTTATTTAATCTTACACATTAATCTACATAATGATCTTGATTATAGATAATAAACTATTCCATATCAAGGATCTCTTAATTATCAAATCAAATATGGACTGTTATTAAATTTTTTCTTTTGTTTTATTTAAATGTTCAAGTTTGCAAACGTTTTAAGATTTTCGTTTTAGATAATAAAAGCTATAATATTATGTTTGTGTTTTGAAAACAAATGACATTATTTGTAAACGAGTTGTATAATTACACATACTTTGACTGATCAGTAATAATAGGTTAAGATTGCAAGAACAAACTGATGTGGTATTCGTAAATTTTATATAATTTCTTACTCCGTGCCGACGTTTTGTGCTGGTGCAAGCAATCCTTTCAACGTACCATCAATGGGCTCTCTGTCAGTAGTTTACCGCTATGTTCTTAATCTATTATTTTTTTTTATTTTTTCTGTCAATGGCTCGTCTTATTTTTATATTTTTCTTACTTCCAATTATTAGCCGAGCTGTGAAAAAGTCAAACTCATCTTATAATATAAGGAATGCCGTCCAGGTGTCCGTAATGTCTGGGCTTTTCGGTTTTCGGACAAAGTCTGTTGAGCTATAGATAATATCTTCACCAAATTGGGCTTGACAATGAGAAAGATTTGTATTGATTGTGGTTTCAATAGACCAAAAATCAAGGTCTCAGCACCTTATGATAGACTAAAGTTTGGGCAAAACTTTCGCTTCAGGATGTTGTCTTTTGAACCATATGTCCAGTTTACCAAATTTGGTTTGAAAATGCCCCATGGAGAACGAACACAACTATTGATTTGAGGTCAAAGTTCAAGGTCAAGGTCACAAAAGATCTATTAATGGACTGAACTTTGGGTAAGTTTATGATTTCCATTGGTATCATTTTTGGTCCTACGTTTACCAAATTTGTTTTGATAATGCCCATGGATAAAGAATTGGGTCTGTGCATTTCATGTTGGTAATCTGTATATCGGTAGCACTGTATGCAACGTTTGCTGTAAACGTCCTTGTAGAACCCTACTGAATTTTAATCTTTTGTATTTTTATCTTGAGTTCCAGTTTTTTCTTATTGGTATTGCATTTTAATATCTTTCAATGCAATCTTCTACGTTACCACATAAAACAGAATTTCTATTTTCTCTGCTTCCGGTTCATTTTCTTACGCCGCCAACTCTATCATCTCTATCATTTGAAATTTACATGAAACATACAGAAAATATTTGATGGCAGCGGCATATCCAGGATTTTTTTTAATGAGGGGCGGCGGTAAAATCAGACAAATGTATCCCACGGAGTTCGCTATGCCCGTGTCTGTTGTGACGCTTTGGATTTCAATGAACGTAATCTATGTATTACAGTACTGGTAAATTATTAAGTCAGGGATTTCGTAACCACAAATTCTTCAAAACCTTTACTAGATTCTTCCATAGATACAAAGATTTGGTTTGGAAGTTTGGTTGTACCTGTGGAAAAATCTGTTTTTCAAACCGGATATCACATCCTAATTTTTACAGAGATGTTGTTTACCGAGCCCGGAAATTTAGATATGATCCGGGTAAACTTTTTGATCCTTTAAATAAACTTATTCCAAAAGTTTACCAATTCGACACCGCAATTAGATCTTTGAATATTGTTTTTATTGGTATTAATATTACTTTTGTTACCAGTAAATGAAAATCAAACTAAATGTTTTTTTTAAATGCACATCCATGGCTCTACAGCCTGTCGATATCTGTATCTTAGCATTGCACAAGGTCATGTTTTTCTCCGACTGTTAATGACGTCTTTACACTAAATCCATTGGATGTTGGATGTGTACTGATTGATATTTTAGTCTTAGATGCATGATTTTTTATTAGTTGTTATTGGCTTTGAACTAGCTGTCAATAACTGCGAGTACTCTCAGATATGTACTTGTGTCTTTTTTGTTGTGGGGATGTATAAGTACCCTGCCACGTCTGGTCTGTGTTTTTGTTAGATAATACGTCTGGTCTGTGTTTTTGTTAGATAATACATTTAACAAAAACACAGACCAGACGTGGCAGGGTACTTATCTGCGTTGTATCGATCTGATGAGTTGAGCCCTTTTCAACCGATTTTATAGTCTGTTCTTATGTTGTACTGTTACACCACTGTCCCAGATTAAGAGAGGGTTAACGCCTTCAAAACTAGATTAACCCCGCCACATTCTATATGTGCCTGTCGAAAGTCAGGAGCCTGTAATTGAGTGGTTGTTGTTTGTTGCTCTTTTTCATATTTGTTTTTTCGTTTATTGCTTTGTATAGTGTGTCCTTGTTTTGTGCTGTTGCACCACTGTCCCAGGTTAGGGGAGGGTTTGGTGCCATCTTACTAGTTTAACCCTGCCACATTCTGTATATGCCTGTCCCAAGTCAAGAGCCTTTAATTCAGTGGTTGTCGTTTGTTGCTGTTTATCATATTTGTTTTTCTTTCACTATTTTGTACATAAATCAGGCAGTTAGTTTTCACGTTTGAATTGTTTTACATTTGTTGTTTCGGGGTCTTTTATAGCTGACTATGCGGTATGGGTTTTGCTTATTGTTGAAGGTCGTACGGTGACCTATTATAGTTGTTAACTTCTATATGTCATTTGGTCTCTGGTGGAGAGTTGTCTCATTGGCAATTATATCACATCTTCTTATTTTTATACAAACACAAATTTTAGGCCAAAACACCCTTCCCCCTAGGGAGTGTTGTTTTTTTATGAAAAAAAAAATGAAAAAAACGGCTGAAATTGTAAAAATCAATGCGTGAATATCGTATCGCGGGATAAAAACACAAGTATTACACACAATGTAAGAAAATATCAAATATCAAATTTATTTCCACTAGCTACGATGCAGAAATAAAGCTCTGCAAACCTCGCTTTTCTTCCCCCTGTTTCTAAAGCTTGTACAGTTATATTTTGCCCAATTGTATGTATAGCGTATGTACATGATACAATCATAAAACTGGATTCCCACATCAGTACATAATATTATACAATCATACACATGTACATAATATTATACAATCGTAAAACTGGATTCCCACATCAGTAGAAAATATTATACAATCATATACATGTACAAAAGTAGATACTATAATAAAACTGGATTCCCACACCAGTACTACATAATATTATATTATCATAAAACTGGATTCACACATATGTACATAATATTATACACTCATAAAACTAGATTCATACATCTGTACATAATATATAAAAATCATGCACCTACATAATATAAGTACAATCATAAAACTGTTTTACACACCAGTACATAATATGATACAATCATAAAACTGTTTTACACACCAGTACATAATATAAGTACAATCATAAAACTGTTTTACACACCAGTACATAATATGATACAATCATAAAACTGGATTTACACACCAGTACATAATATGATACAATCATAAAACAGGATTTACACACCAGTACATAATATGATACAATCATAAAACTGGATTTACACACCAGTACATAATATGATACAATCATAAAACTGGATTTACACACCAGTACATAATGTTATACAGTCATAAAACTGGCTTTACATATGCATATATTAATTAATCATAGGCAAGAAATCATTGTTTAACAATATTAAAAAATTGACATGGTCAAATCAAATATTGAATCACTGAAAGAGATTCGAAGAAATATTAACGGTCATTCTAGGGTCACATACAATCTCTGATAACATTATATTTAATGGCCATTCCGTTACTACAAAACATATATTATCTTAGAAACTTTGTGACCATTCCATACAACAGGTACTATAAATACTTTTAAAAAGATATCTGACGTAAAACTATCTAGATGTGAGCATAGAGTTTAAAACAAACCATGAATCATTATCAAGTTTTTTTTTATCATATATAAAAAAAATTGCACACAATTTGACGGCTAAAGACTGACGATTCTGAAAGTTGAATATATGCGTTTTTCTCAGTTAAAGAATTAGAATATATACTGGTACTTAACTAAATGTATATAGAGGTATGTTTCAGAGATAAAGAAGTACCTAGCTGTGAAATAGACATAAACATAAGATACATGTATTATAATCTGTAATGAATAACAAACTTGAAACAGTTTAGAACCATGAAGAAATGTCATATACATATATAACGTTATGTCAAGCACAACTTTAACTATTAGGGATACGACCTATTTCGGTGTGTATACTGGGACGGACGGACGCCAAAAGGAGATGATTTATGTATACAGCTTTTGACAAGTAATTAAATTGCGATATATGTATTTTGACATTCTTTATTTCAAGTATAATATTTTGTACTCTTTGAGATTATTATTATTACGCCTTGGAAGTGGATTACGGTTAGAGTTAGACTTCACTTGCATGTACACAAGTCGATAAAATATATTTATAGCACTCGAGCTATTAACAGCCTAATTGACCAACATTAGCTTCAGTTGCAGCTCTAATGAAACTTTCAGCGATGTTATCCTACTCATGTATTAAAGGCTAAGCCTACAAAGTCAAAAGAGTTTAACAGTGGTGACACCTTCTATACCTGAGAATGACACCTTCTATAGCTGAGAATGACACCTTCTATACCTGTAAATGACACCTTCTATACTGAGAATGACACCTTCTATACCTGATAATGACAACTTCTATACCTGAGAATGACACCTTCTATACCTGATAATGACACCTTCTATACCTGAAAATGACACCTTCTATACCTGATAATGACACCTTCTATACCTGAGAATGACACCTTCTATACCTGATGACACCTTCTATACCTGATGAAACCTTCTATACCTGAGAATGACACCTTCTATACCTGAGAATGACACCTTCTATACCTCATAATGACACCTTTTATACCTGATGACACCTTCTATACCTGATAATGACACCTTCTATACCTGATATTGACACCTTCTATACCTGATGGCACCTTCTATACCTGATAATGACACCTTCTATACCTGATGACACCTTCTATACATGAGAATGACACCTTCTATACCTGAGAATGACACCTTCTATACCTGATGACACCTTCTATACCTGATGACACCTCCTATACCTGAATTCATTCTATTTATCTGGATAATTTCATTTTAAATTTGATTTTATTTCCGTAATATTTTCCTTTAAATGTAGCATACATCTTTTTTGTTGGTTTTTGTTCAATTCAATTCAGAGTAAAGATTGGTGACTTCATGCGTGCCGTTACCATAGTTAAGCGTCATTAGGTCACAAATTAAAACTATTACTGACTGCGCCAGTAAAAATAAGAAAATGTACTTTATATGATTGCGTTCTTCTGATTTACAGTTTCAGCTTCATATGATTGATGATTACGAACCGTTGCATACGCGGAGTATATGATTAAAAATATTCAAATAATAGTTACACAACAAAATATTTTTGAATTTGTAGATTACTTGGTGTAGTGATATTTACATGAAAAAGACAACAGGTAATTAAAACTATGTACGTTGATATTTATTCAGTTAATTTGTGTTGGGGAGAACAGTCGGTGTAAAGTATGAAAACATGACCATTTGTGACTGTCTTTTGAGGTGGATATTTGCCGAAAATATTTTTCTAGTATCTGTCGGTATTACGACTGGTGATGGAATTGCAATGAGTCCATGGATGACTTTATAGAATGTTTTTCCCAATGAGACAACTCTCCACCAGAGACCAAATGACATAGAAGTTAACAACTATTGGTCACCGTACGGCCTTCAACAATGAACAAAACTCATACCGCATAGTAAGCTATAAAAGGTCCCGAAATGACAAATGTAAAACAATTCAAACGAGAAAACTAACGGCCTGATATATGTTCAAATTAATGAATGAAGAACAAATATGATATAGAGCACTAACGACAACTACTGAATTATAGGCTCCTGACTTGGGGCAGGCACATGCAGAATGTGGCGGGGTTAAACGTGTTTCCTGGCGCCAAACACTGCCATTAACCTTGGACAGAAGTGTAACAATACGACTGAAGAACAAACTAAAAAAATAAGTTAATTAGAAATGAGATAAACTCATCAGATCGATTCAAAGCACATAAAACCCTAACACAAACACAAAAGACACAAAATACCGATCTGAAATACTCGCTTTTAACTGAATGCGATTGAATTCAAAGCCAATAAGGGAGCAACCATTTAACTTCCAGTTGGGGGAAAGGGGGGGGGGGAGGGTATGGGTTTTTTGTCGGAGTCAGAAATTTTTTTCTGCGCAAAGTGCGAACATTTTTTTTTTAGTTTTTCGACGCTATCAATCAAATTATTTTTTTCAAAATTTAACACTATAAGGTATAGGGAAAATCTGGATTCAGAGTATTTTTTTTGTCATCTGCTTGACCATCAAATTGAGGAATATTTTTTTAGGAAAAAACATTAACACCCCACCCTTGAAGTTAAATGGCCGTTCCCTAATAACTAATACAATTAACTGTCCAGTGTTATCCGCGAAAGAATAGTTGTAATATACAAATTATCACACAGTCCGCTTTATTGTATTTTCAAATCATCATTTAATATATTTTTCATAAATTATGTTTGTATGAAAATCCTCCATGTTGCCTGACTTGTAATGTATTTGATGTGCCGCTGTTTTGAAGAAAACACCTATAGAACATGTTGAACACAATGGAGATCGGTACATATGGAGTTTTACAAATATTAAAGATTTTTTTGTTGTCATTTTAAATTAAGAATGCTATCAAATTATGAATGGATGTTATAATGAATAACATATCCGTATAATGACTGATGTGGTTCTATTGTTGTACAGAAAACATTCCCTTTAATAGCGTCAATTGTCGTCACAGCAATGTACGTGGTGATAATTGTAGATATCTACATGTAGCCACACAAACTGCATGTATCTGAATAATCTCTTGTGAGGTAAAATGCCACTCGATAATTCTATTTACAAACAAATAATTTGTTCACAACGGGAAGCCATATTAAAGCTAAGATCGTAGTGATAACGACCTATTATATTTACTGAGGTCGGGTAGACAATATCATTAAGTAAACGGATGAAAGGGTCGATCATTTAATATACAATATATGTAGCCGAAGATGTATTGAGCTTTTGTAAAGTTTTATATACAATATAATGTAGCCGGGAATGTATTGAGGTTTTGTGAAGTTTCATTGCACACCTTGATGCACTTTAAAAATAATAGATTATTTTACCTGAGCATTATTTGAAAAGACCAAGAGAAAATTGTAAGGTATGCTTCAATTTTATATTACATATTCAATAATGTATAACTAAATACTATAGTAATCGGTTATGTTTTCTGCACCACTTGTTCTGACAATGATCATTGTAGCTGTCTGTTCTGACAATGCTCATTGTAGCTGTCTGTTCTGACAATGCTCATTGTAGCTTTCGATAAACAATGAACGTAGATGTAAATATAAATAATTTCCATGTATCGTGTTAAGTCAGCCATTATACAAAGACAATATTTCATAAATAATTACAAAATATTTAGAAAAATTACCAAATAGTAATCAATACGACAGTAGGAAATATGGGTCCGGGTCCGACACATCTTAGAACATACATTAGGATAATATGTTAGAACCATTGGTGGCCTTCTGCTGTTTTCTGTTCTTTGGTCGGGTTGTTGTCTCTTTGACACATTCCCCATTTCCATTCTCAATTTTATTTAGGTTTTACGGCACATTTGATACTGCACGTCAAAACAATCTTAGGACTAATTCAGCTGGAATGTCCTAACCGCTGTTCTAGAGACAGCTTTTTCTCTAAAAAAGCAAACTTTTCATCTTAATTAAAAAAAAAAAACGAAAAATGTGTATACTTTAGTTTAAAATGCATCACAATTAACCGATCAATATAATAGCGAGGATGATAATAACAATTGATTATGATAATAATAATAATAATTGAAACTAAAGGAATCCTTAATTTGCAAATGCAATTCACCATGTTCACAGTTACAATTCAAAGATTTCATTGTGTAAATCAATGATATCAAAGATCAGCCTATATAAATCCTTTCGCATATAAGATGGATAGAATAATCATTGGTTTTTACTACTTGCAAATATTTCAATATGTTCATCTATATGTGTTGCTGTAGAGAAGGACACCAGCATTTATATTTTGGAACTTTTTTATCTTACCAAAAAGTTCATATCCCTGTTCAGTATAAAGCGGACGAATACCTGGAGCTATCAGGCAAGTGGTCAGTAACACGATGTTGATTTAATGCACTTGCCTCATTCCTAAGCTGGCAATAAAATTGAGAATGGAAATGGGGAATGTGTCAAAGAGACAACAACCCGACCACAGAACAGACAACAGCAGAAGGCCACCAACAGGTCTTCAATGCAGCGAGCAAATCCCGCACCCGGAGGCGTCCTTCAGCTGGCCCCTAAACAAATATATATACTAGTTCAGTGATAATGAACGCCATACTAAACTCCAAATTGTACACAAGAAACTAAAATTAAAAATAATACAAGACTAACAAATGTATGATATTGTATTTTCGTTTACCAATATTAAAACATGCTGGACAGTGGATGATATCTTCGTTCAACACACCTTTATACTTTGTATAGCTAGCAATGTATTTAATATCATCTTCAAGTGAATTCCATTTACCCAGGATATTTGGAATATTGGGCGGGGGAGGGGGAGGGATGGTACTCTCTCCGATGTTTTAAATTGTACTGTGTACTAGAATTGTAAGTTGATGTGCCCTCTGTAGGTATATATCATGGGATCTTTCTAGATAAGACCTTATGGAGTAATTTATTTATATGTCGTCTTCTCTGGAGGGAATGCTATCCATATTCTTTGAACAACTTCCCCCTTGAAGTTCCCTTTATACAATTTTTCCTTGCGGTTCCCTTTTCTAAGACCAGGGGCGTGTTTTTTTTGTTCTTCGGTAGTGAGGCAGAAGATGTCCATTTCTATTTTTTTTGCATTGGGAAGATCTTCTGGCTCTCTTCTACCTCTTCCTTTTAAATAGGTGGTTTAGACGGCAGAGGCACATAACAAAAATGGCGTCGTTAAGTCTAAATGACATTAATAAATGTATGAATGCAACTATATTAGAATGTGAGCTTTGTGATAAACATTTTATGGTATGGCAGCCTTAGTAGTACATCCCTGTAGGGACGATAAGCTGGATAAATATAAGAACTACACGGACAATAACAGTAAGGGGACGATTATTTGATATTCTGGGGAGGGGAGGGGCAGGACGATTTTTTTGCGGATTTATTATTCATTTTAATCTGTCGCTAATCATGTCTATTTTTTCAGCTCTTACCAGGCCCCTATATTCATATGTAAAATCCTCCTGTCCCCCCCCCCCCCCAAAAAAAAATATATGGTTTTCCCCTCGTTTAACACAAGTTTAACATGTTTCAATTGATTTATTGTTGGTGGCTTATTTTTAACGTCCAGTGACAAATATTTCATGCTTGTTCAGGAAAACACGAGTTTAAAAGTCAGGTATATAACATAAAAAAGCCTTTAAAATGTTAAAGGAGATGCTGTATGATTGCCAATGAGGCAACTATCCACCGGAGTTCAAATGAATGGATGTAAGCAATTATAGGCAACCGTACGGTTTTCAACAATGACAAAAACCCATACCGTATAGTCGGCTATAAAAGTTCCCGACATGAAAAATGATAAACAATTCAAACGAAAAATCTAACTCTCTAATTATATATTACAAAACAATTTACAAAAAATCAAATATGAGTCGACAGATATGAACCAACGACAACCACTGAACTACAGACTCCTGAATTGGGACAGGCACATTCAGAATATGGCAGGGTTAAACATGTTTGTGAGCGCTCAACCCTCCGCTAAACTGGGATAGTGGTGTATCAGTACAACACAAGAACAACATGAATAAACTGTAAAAATCAGTTGCAATTAGATTAACTCAAAAGATCGGTACGAGACTCAAAAAAACAACTAACATTAACACAATAGACACAAAGCACCGAAATAAGAGTATTTGCAGCTAATGAAAGTTTGTTCAAAGCTAATTACAACGAACACTGAAATAAATCTCCCAGATTAAAGTATCAATCAGCTAGTACACAAGCAACGGATTTAGTCATAAACAGTCTGAGAAACACCATGACCTTGTATACCTTGTATACATGTACGTGCATATACAATGAAGGTTTTCGAAAAGTGGTGGTCTGAAGGTTATGCCTATCGAAATTTTGCAATAGAAATAATAGTTAGGACCAGCAGAATTTATTCAAGGACCACCAGGGAAAATGATTTTGAGAACTCTGCGATGTCTTTGCTTTACACCTGTCCCAAGTCAGGAATCTGATGTTCAGTAGTTGTCGTTTGTTGATGTGGTTCATAAGTGTTTCTCGTTTCTCGTTTTTTATATAGATTAGACCGTTGGTTTTCCCGTTTGAATGGTTTTACACTAGTAATTTTTGGGGCCCTTTATAGCTTACTGTTCGGTGTGAGCCAAGGCTCCGTGTTGAAGACCGTACTGTGACCTATAATGGTTTACTTTTATAAATTTTGACTTGGATGGAGAGTTGTCTCATTGGCACTCATACCACATCTTCTTATATCTATTTATACAAAAATAATCCAGTTTGGTCACTTTAAAAAAAAATGGATAGACAAGATGTCCTTTTCGATCATATGCCAGACAATCATTGACAAATTCTTGTACAGTTTAAGATTATTCCTGAAAGTCAAATGGTCGGGGCTTTAATATTTGTTTAGCAAAATTGAGTTAGGACAGCATAAAGAAAAAAATGTCACGATCACAGCGATTTCTTCCAACCAATTTTCTTTGTTTTTACACGTATTGTATAATTGCATCAATGTCAAAACAGAGCACACTATATTACAGTCATGCCTACCGTATCGGAACTAACGTATCTTAATTTTCTAATGAATCATCGTAAACTTCATTTATGTAATCCAACATAAAAAAAAAATCAGTTATTTTCGACGGCAAATTGAATTTTTGTTTTATTGCTTCTTCTACAGAATATCTCCAAAAGAGGTCCAGATTAATTTTTTTGGACTCTTCACCAGAAGACTTTCTGGAGATGTACAGAAGAGACCAATAAAACACGCCCCAGTAATTATTCGAGCAGCATCTTTATGGACGATTCGATTAGTTCTGATTTTTCCTAGCTTCGGTTATTTCAAATAGAATTCCCATATATTAAATTTGGGTCTTATCAAGACATTGGCACTCATACCACATCTTCTTATATCTATATACAAAGTTTTTCTAAAGAATCTGTGTAAATCTTATCTTTTAGATATCTCATGATATCATGCAATGCGCATACAGGCGTTCGTATAAATTTCTCTATTATGGTCTGCCCATTTGACATCAGATGAAAAAGTAAGACTCAAGTGTTTATACTTAGACAAATTTTCCCTGGGAGTGTTATACATATACAGTGACGTCACATCATAATGGTTTTTCTGGTAAAATACATAGATTTGGTCTTGGCAGCATTAAATGTACAAGCAACATCAACTGTGTCATTAAAAAACAATAGAAATAAGAAAGGACATACAATCGATCCTTAGGGAACACCAGCATTTAATGTCTTCCAGTTCGGAAAATATTCATTTATGCCTCCCTTTGTTGTCCATCTTTTAAAAACTTTTAAACCAGTTTAGGAGATTTCCCTTTAACCCATTTTTTTTAAAGTTTTTATAATAGTCCCTTGTGCCAAACACGATCAAATGCCTCTCAAATGCCATGCTACAAACTCTCTTGACAAAGATGAAAAATCATTTATCTTTATTCTCAAGTAAGGATCATTCTAAGACCTTTATAATACACCTAAACTGGTGTTCTAAACTTAGGATAAACTTCGAAACATATGCTAAGTTAAAACATATTTGCATTCAGGTGTCACAGGTCAAATTTATTCGTTCATTGTGTGTTTATTTACGTTTTTTGATTGAGTTAAGCCTTCCAATTGATATTTTATAGTGTGTTTTTCTATGTTGTGATGTTATACTATTGTTTCAGAAAAGGGAGAAAGTTTGGTACCATTAAAACGTTTAATCCCGCTGCAAATGTTTGCACCTGTCCTAAGTCAGGAATCTGATTGCAGTAGTTGTCGTCTGTTTATGTAGTTCATACGTGTTTCTCGTTTCTCGTTTTTATATAGATTAAACCGTTGGTTTTTCGGTTTGAATGGTTTTACACTAGTAATTTTTTGGGGCCCTTTATAGCTTGCTGTTCGGTGTGAGCCAATGATCCGTGTTGAAGGCCGTACCTTGACCTATAATGGTTTACTTTTATAAATTGTAACTTGGATGGAGAGTTGTCTCATTGGCACTCAAACCACATCTTCTTATATCTATTGATTATCCCAATTTTGACTAAGATATGTTCTAAGATGCTCTACGGCGTGTCCTATTCGATTAACGTGTCCTAGTCCATGACACATTCGATTAACGTGTCCTAGTCCATGACACATTCGATTAACGTGTCCTAGTCCATGACACATTCGATTAATCAACAGTTCAATAAATTAATCTTTATTATAATCATAATATTGTAAATATAAAGTTAATCCAAAGAATACTGTAACAATACAACTCAAAATTACGCTTTTAATCTATGAGATTGTAGTTGTCAGAAGAAAAATATTAATGATAAAGGCAAATAGTTTTAAAATTGTACCCCTGTGGACATAATTAAAATTGTACCCCTGTGGACATAATTAAAATTGTACCCCTGTGGACATAATAAAAATTGTACCCCTGTGGACATAATTAAAATTGTACCCCTGTGGACAAAATTAAAATTGTACCCCTGTGGACATAATTAAAATTGAACCCCTGTGGACATAATTAAAATTGTACCCCTGTGGACATAATTTATTGTACCCCTGTGGACATACTATTATTATTAGTTTTAACTATACAACGTATAAGGGGAATGTTGAGATCTCACAAAAAAATGTTTAACCCCGCTGCATTTTACGCGCCCAAGTCAGGAACCTCTGGCCTTTGTTAGTCTTGTATGTTTTTAAAATTTTGGTTCATTTATTTAGTGTGACGTCCATTTTCGCTTGACTAGTATACATTATTGTTTAGGGGCCAGCTATCTTGCTGTGTTGAAGACCCCTTGGTGGCCTTTGGCTGTTTTCTGCTCTTTGATCGGGTTGTTGTGTCTTTGTAACTTTACACCCCTGATGACATAGACTTATAATTTGTTTTAACTTTACACCCCTGATGACATAGACTTATAATTTGTTTTAACTTTACACCCCTGATGACATAGACTTATAATTTGTTTTAACTTTACACCCCTGATGATATAGACTTATAATTTGTTTTAACTTTACACCCCTGATGACATTGACTTATAATTTATTTTAACTTTACACCCCTGATGACATTGTCTTATAATTAGTTTAAACTAAACACCCCTAGGAAAGGTGTTATAATTTAACCATATACCTGTGTTTTTTTTAAATCAAGTAATGTATTTCATTCACCGAGTCAGTTTCGTGTTCCTGAATGGTGACAAGAGTCAGTTTCTTGTTACTGAGTGGTGACAAGAGTCAGTTTTTTGTTCCTGAATGGTGACAAGAGTCAATTTCTTGTTCCTGAATGGTGACAAGAGTCAGTTTCTTGTTCCTGAATGGTGACAAAAGTAAATATGAAACGGAATTACTAAACATTTAAAAATAAATACAATTGTATTTTTATCTACATAAAAATCAATTGGTGCATTGAAATACGGAAAAGCACCAAGTACACGTTTATGTGGTAAATAACATTAGTACCTTGGTACATATTAGTATTACCATATCAGTAGGGACCATCTATGTTTCATTATATCATCAATGAAGGATTGATCATCAACACTCATGTCGTGTCAACAAACACATTTCGCAGGTAAATAGATTCGCAGAGTTCAATTCGATTGTCAGTAAAAGTTTTTTTTTCAAATCTTTTCTTTTATTAGTTCTCGTCATCGAACTGCACGAAATACTTACAACTGGACGTTAAGCAGTCTTACTTACTTATACATAAATAAATCGTAGTAACATGAATTTTAAGAAAAGGTATCTTTTAATCTGGTGTCAAAATGCAATCATGTACAGGTAAAATTATACTTAAAGATTATGAAAATTATCTATTAAAGAACCAGGGTAACACGGGGAACCAGTAGTCAAACAGGAACGTCTTGTCTTATCTCTGTAAAATAAACAACTCCGTAAAGTTAAACATAATTTAATTTAATTTAGAATTTATCATTGTTTGTTTTAAATATTTAGTGGGTATTCGATAAAAGTCCATCTAACAATTAAATTGTGGTGTATTACTTTTTGTTGGGAAAGTTATTAAGTGAAGGCTGCATGTTTAGGTAAGGAACTTTTTTTTTAGATGTTATACTTTTAGACTGGATTACCCAACCCTATCTATAGTTTTTATTTCCCCGTCACTTTTGTTACATGTTCTGCAAATGATAAACGTTGGATTAGGATTTTTTTCAATACAAGTAATTCCATTTTGATTCTCTTTTTCTTAATATGTGTTTTTATCTAACTCCAGTAACCATGGTAATCGTTATTAAAACGATGAAAGTTATGTCACGTTAGTTATCAGTAGATCATGCAATGAAAGTGATGCATCCACTTAACATGTACCAAGACATAAGAATGTATGTAGTCATACAGAATGGTTATTCTTTTATATTTACACGGAATCTTCTGTTGCTAATTTCTTCAGTTTGGAGACAACTTTCCTATATTTAACTCCAATGTTTTGTAAAATGACCCTTATAAACAAGTTGAACTCATTCTTCTTGAAGTCTTTAGGTAAGGAACTGGATTCAAAATTTAAATATACAATGTACTTGGTTCCGCGCGAAAAATTTGTATAGTGTCCGGGACAATACAGAAGGTTCGCTCTTGACTATTATATTTAAAAACTTTCGAAATATTTTACAATTAAAGCTATGTACATTTTTGTGTTGCCTAGATCATCTCAGAGCATCATTTCAATGCAGTTCTGAATCGAAAAACTGTGTTGGCGGACGATACAGTTGTTGCTAGGTTGTTCCAATCCCTGATGGTCATTGGAAAGAAAGATTGGCCGTAGGAATCTGTACAGGTACTTGTAAAAGCAGTTTTTACTTCTAGTCTGGCTATTGTTTTTGAGTTGGACATTGTTGACGATCTTTGTCAATTAGATCATGCTGTATCTTGAGTAGCATGCAAAATCTGTGTGTTTTCCTCCGATCTTCAATGCTTTCCCATGTTAATGTGTTTACCATATGTGTGACACTGCCAGGTGTTCTGTCTCTGCAGCTGTTATGCACAATTACTGCTCTTTTCTGTACCTGTTCTATTGTCTTGATCTTATTTTAGTTTGTTGGGCCCAATACAGCGCATACATATTCCTCTTCTGATCAGGTCTCATCATGGATACATATGCAGCTGTTTTTACAAGTTTTGAGCAGCCTTTAAACATTTCTGCGGATAAATCCTAATGTTTTATTTCCTTTTCAAACAGTAGTATCAATGTGTCTATATGTGGATATGATAGTTTAGTGTAATGGTGTATTGATACTAACTCAGTCTAAAGTCAGAATGGTATTATTCTATGTATGATAGTTTAGGGAGCTACCATTTGATTTTTATGGGGGAGGGGGTGGGGGGGGGGGCTAGGATGAAATTTGAAAAAAAGGCAGGACAGGAGTTTTGAGTAAAAAAAAAAGGCAGGATGAGCTACTTCGCAAAAAAAAAGGCAGGATGACAATTTATGTAAAAAAAGTCAGGATAAACTAATAAAAAAAAGGTAGGCCCGAATAGAATGAAAAATAAAAAGGCAGGACAGAGATTACAACTAAATGAAAATGCAGGACAACATTTTTCATCCTAGTCCCCCATAAAAAACAAATGGTAGCTCCCTTAGTGTCATGATGTATTGATACTGACTCAGAATAAAGTCAGAATTGATTATTCTATGTATGATAGTTTAGTGTCATGATGTATTGATACTGACTCAGACTAAAATCAGAATGGCATTATTCTATATATGTATAATAGTTTAGTGTCATGATGTATTGATACTGACTCATGCTAAAGTCAGAATGACATTATTCTATGTATGATAGTTTAGTGTCATGATGTATTGATACTGACTCAGACTAAAGTCAGAATGGATTATTCTTTGTATGATAGTTTAGTGTCATGATGTATTGATACTGACTCAGACTAAAGTCAGAATGACATTATTCTATGTATGAAAGTTTAATGTCATGATGTATTGATACTGGTTCAGACTAAAGTCAGAATGGATTATTCTATGTATGATAGTTTAGTGTCATGATGTATTGATACTGGTTCAGACTAAAGTCAGAATGGATTATTCTATGTATGATAGTTTAGTGTCATGAATTATTGATACTGACTCAGACTAAAATCAGGATGACATTACTATATGTATGATAGTTTAGTGTCATGATGTATTGATACTGGTTCAGACTAAAGTCAGAATGGATTATTCTATGTATGATAGTTTAGTGTCATGATGTATTGATACTGACTCAGACTAAAGTCAGAATGACATTATTCTATGTATGCTAGTTTAGTGTCATGATGTATTGGGCATTTAATGCGTTCTTCACGCATGATTTGATGGGGAAGGGACATGACTAGGTATATATCTTGGCTATTGCTGGTTATTTATATACTATCTATATATTCATTTCCTTTTACCTACAAATGAGTACTTTTATATTTGGTTGTCAACACGAACCTTGTTTAACAGAACAATCGCTTATACCACTGGTTGATAAGAACCAGTATTTTCTAAATATAGAAGTGTGCAAGGAGCAACGAATTTTGATATTTTAATGGCCAAATAAAAAAGGTTAAGTGAAGTGAAATCTTACACACATTTCAATATAACATGTTTCAGTTGGCTGAACAATTCGAGTTATCAACTATTGTTTAAACTCACATAAAACATGAAAAAAATCTGAATGTCGTCATGAAATTATATCTTAAGAAACACACGAACATTTTTTATGATAAGTAGTAATGTATACTCGACATCACACCTCTAGATGTAGTAGAATATTAATGTTCTATTGTATATCTATATAAACTACTATGCGGGTGACCTTTGAACTCCTACAAGTAACATGTATAGCTTTGATGCTTTAGATAATACTTACAGGACTAACTTTGTAGTCAGTGTAATGGTAAACTTAGGTCATGATATGTTTAATATATTCCACTTTATTGCTGTTTTCTTCATCATGGCCCTTATTAAGGAATATGATACGTTATTAACACAAACAACATATTATTAAATGCAAATCGTCGGTTGCTAGAACAGAACAAATTGTATTAAAGGTTTTATTTTAAATGCTTTGATAATAATCACACATACTTAAAAGTATTCAGAATGTTAAACTCAATCAGATATATATTTTTCGTCTTTATTTCAGGTATATCAGATAACCGCCATGATTGTGTTTTCGTTACGGTGATGTTTGATGACGAAAGTTAACGGACATTTCATCTTCGGCAGGGCATCATACTACAGGTTACACATCTAGTGAATAAAAAGACTTGTCGAGCATAAAATGTAAAGAATTTTATGGGTAAAAAAACTATTGTCAACTATACGTGAGTGGTGGATTGATTTACGCTTGCATGTTCGTCCGAGGGTAATGTGAATTTAGTAAATTTGTGTCGAAGAAAAATTACATGGCTAAACTGTGTCGTTATTAAGACAATTGCATAATTAGATGGACACGAGTGTGGCGACTTGATACCGAAAATAAACTTACTCGATACCTGAGTGATTAATATGAACAATTCTACTTCATTTATGTCAATTCTAAACTTGTTACCTGTAACTATTCTCCGTTACTCGAACTTTTAACGGTTTTGTACATTACTAAATGAGATATTATAATACGGATAATGGCAACCTATCTACTGATTGCCACTACATTGTCCTTCGACAGGAGTGCATAGTGATTGACACTACACTGTCCGTAACAGAAGTGCATAGTGATTGACACTACTGACAATGCTACGAAAAACTGAGTGACACACGGCTTTCACACAACTAGCAATGCTAGGCATAGTGTTGTCAATAACTAGCATGGTATTATACCTGGCAGAAACAGGTTTAAATATACACCTGTGTATAACCCGAATTACCTCCGATTTCACGTCATCTGTAATCATTTTATCTCTGACCGCCGGACCATTAGTTCTTGTGAACGTCATCTCTACAATACTGGTGCTAAGAACCATGGACTTCAGTGGGAGAGGATGTGCCCGTACAATCTGCATCCTACTCCATTTTTTACAAGTAGGACTTATTTGGCGATGTTTAAAATTGCTTTTATTGTTTGATGAACATGACTGGAGGGAGTTTATAATACTCAGATTGATTCATACAGCTATGCAAAGCTTCCCAATCTTAATCCTGAAAGGCAGCCATTTCTTCAGTGGTCACGATACGACTTCAGAAGTAATAACTGTAGTAATTGTAGGAGTAATCGCTAATGCTGTTGTGTTTTCAATGTACAATACACAAAAGTTTCTCTTTGAAAACGACGACTTTTCGCAATTAGGTGTTCGGATAAGAAAACCGTTTGGTATCCTAATGCTAACATTCGGTACCATCTTTCTCATGGCCTCACGATGTGGATCTATTATGTTATTTCAAGCTGTTATACCACTTTGGCTTCCTCTGCCAATAGGATTTCATTTTCTAGTATATTTATTTTCCACAACTATTTTTCCTTTTTGCAATAACAAAGGCAGCATTTTACAAGTTTTTAAAAATATATGTTTATCTTATTTTAACATTTTTGACATTTTCAACAAGGAGAAGCAAAAGATAATTTGCGTGAATGTTCTTCTGTACAGTGGACTACTTGTAGAAAATGTCATCATGACAGGATTCTGGATGATGAACAACAATTGGGATTATAAATACCAACTAGGAACAACTGTCTCAATTATACTCACGTTTGTATGTGGAATGTTTCTTAAATGTTGCAGTTGTAGTTATCTGCAGAATGAAACATTCAAACCATTTTCTGACGCTACTTACCAACTTGCATTAGAAATAGCAATGAAAAATACATCTCATGATTTCTCTGTAAAACACGGGATTGAGATACAAAATCATGAACAATATGGGGAAAATCATTGTTCAATTATTAGCTTACAAAATGGATATATTCATAAAGTTCCACATTCTATTAACGGAAACAGTAAGAATGGGACATCCGAAAAATTAAAGGGAGAAATATCAAGTGAAAAGGACGAGTCCACACCATCAAGGAAAAAGCGAAGAAAACATAGTAGCAATGTAGATTTAGCATCTAGTAATAGTCGAAATACAAACACTTTAAATGTAAGTGACCCAAGTAATGTTTTCTGCCATATAAACAACTCAAATTTGCAAAATGCTCAAACAATGCCATGCCTTACAGTCAAAAGACGACCAGAACTGTCTGTGCGAACATCTGATCGAAAACCAAATAATTCGGAGACAAAGCGATCGTTCTGTAAAAGTCCACCAAAAAGTAGAAAATCTCCCCTTCCATTATTTCCAAACGAGTGCTCTGATTTCGTTTCAAATAAAACATTTGAATCAAAGCACGTGCTTAGTAATTCTGTTGAAGAATACAACGTCGGTGGCAGTGACACGTCATATTCTGTCAGTTATAGTTATTACGCGGACTCCAGTGACTGGTCATCCATGTCATGTGATTCTAGTAGTGCGATGACGTGGCCCCCGTCAAATCCTATATCATTTATAAATCTTCACTGCTTGCCGAAAGATAAGATATCGCCCACCGATAGTGTTCAGCATTGGTTGACCCAGTTAGACGAATGGGAACAATCCATTGAAAACGATTCATTTGATATATCATCCAAAGACAGAAATTCATCTCCAGTCCCGTCATCAGAATACACAGACAAAAGTCAAAGTTCAAGATACAAAAACGTCCTGATAGGAACACAAGCAAATAGACACACTCCTGCACTAACAAACAGAGAATCAGACATTTTACTGAGACCAAAGGACGCATTATTACAATTCAGAGAATCAAAACCTTTAAGTTACCTCCCTTATGATCCGTCGGATTATAAAAAAACTCAGCAGTTAGCTAACGAGAATACAATTGTTATATGGCATGAGAGAGATACGACACCGACAAATACAGTTCAGGAATCTATGGTATAGAATAAAAAAAGTCAATTATTATACTATTGTCTTTCTTTTTAAGACATGTGCATGATAATAATGATATGTATTCTATAATTCGTTAAGTTTAACTTATCTTCTTAGAGGATTTCTTACGTACTACAAAGTAAGAAAAGTATAGGTCACCGTACCGCCTTCAACAATGAGCAAATCCCATACCGCAAAGCCCATACCGCATAATAGCATGAAAAGCAAACAATATTTTAATAAACAAAATCAAAAACCTTGCTCGAAATCGGTGTCAAACGTTTATTTTTGTCCCTCGCCGATCTTCTCGAGGTGGATATTGTAACATTACTCCTCTGTCACAGGTCGCCCGAAAACTTTTATAAAAAGTACAATTTTGAACTCCACTAAGACCAAATGTATGAAAACGTGAGAAGACTATACCATTATACGAAGCTGACCATACTAAATTGCCTCTTTGATTTGCCAATTTTTGCGAGAGTATCAACTGATCATTGCTATCCAATGGAACGTTGTTAAATCTACTTCTTTGGATCTACTGTTCCGGAAGTTTTCATGATTGATAAGATTATTTATCATTCTAATATGACGACCTCTATATATATATCGTTCATCAGTATAATCACAGTTTATCTACTTTTAGCGAAACGCATAAAATACACAAAATTGGCTGTTTCGCGTTACGCCTACCTTACGACCTGTTACACTCGTTTTGCGACAGTAAAACCGACATTTAGCGTAGCCCAAGCTTCAAATACAATACGGTTATCTCTATTTTAATGCATAATAAACAAATCAGTCCATTTCAGTTATTATTTCGGTGTAAAATTTCATGAAACGAAAATTCCGCGAAATATTGTTAACGTATTTGTCAACTAAACAAGGTGAGTCATATGAATGCTCTCAGCTTCAAATGTAAACACCGAACGTTTTCAGACTTCTTGTACTCCTCAGATTAAAATACAATTAGATAAAAAGAATATTTTTTGGTGAAAAAATGTAATTTTTGTCTCGCCTTGACGGAGTCAAAAAGCGAGACATAGGTATGCTGTTTCCGGCGTCGGCGACGACGACGACGACGACGACGACGACGGCGGCGGCGTCAACAATGTATAAGTTTGTGATTAGGTCTAGTTCATGGTGAACCACTAGAGGTAGGTCAATGATATTTGGTATGCAGTTGTATTAGCATTGACACATCTCATTACCCTGGAGATTATTCGACCCCGCCCCCTCAGTCAAGGTCTATTGACTTTGAAACTTTGCTTAGTTTACATGTATTAGTTTGTGATTAGGTCAGTTTATGGGGAACCGTTAGTGGTAGGTCAATGATAATTGGTATGCAGTTGTATAAGCATTAGCACATCTCATTTCCATGGAGAATATTTCGTCCCTACCCCTCAGTCATGGTCTATTGACTTTGAAACTTTTGCTTAGTTTACATGTATTAGTTTGTGATTAGTTCAGTTTAAGATGAACCACTAATGTTAAGTCAATGATATTCGGTATGCAAATGTATTGGCATTTGCAAGTTTCATTTCCATGGAGATTATATAATCCCACCCCCTAATTATGGTTCATTGACTTTGAAACTTTTACATAGTTTACAAGTTAATGTTTGTGTTTAGGTTTGTTTAAAGAGAACGACTTATGAAAAGTCAATGGTATTTGATTTGCAGTTGTATTAGCATTGGCACATCTCATTTCCATGGAGATTGTTTAGCCCTGTACCTTCAGTCATGGTTCATTGACCCCGAATATTTGCATAACTTACATGTTAAAGTATTGCTATTTTAATTTCAACATTTGCATTATCAAAATAACAAATAGGCGAAACATATCTCTGTGTTAACAGTTTATTAATTGTCTCGCCTGTGACAAGAATGCGAGGCATAGGGATTGTAATCTGGCTGCGGCGTAAACTATATCAGAAGGTAGAAGACCTGGACGCTTCATACCTTGTATGCAGATACCTTATGTTACGAAGTTTCCGACTGTCATATGTCCTATGTCCATTGTCCTTGAACTAATTTTCATGGTTCATTGATTGTTTGAAATTGGTTTTTTTTTGTCATGTGAATTTCTCACTTATTATGAGTAATAGGATACCTGTATTTGGTATATGGGTTCCCTGCACGTCTACATGTCCGTCAAACAGGGTTCACTTGACTTCGACATTATTTCATGGATCAGTGATCAAGGTTAAAGTTTGGTGGTCAAGTCCGTTTCTCAGATACTATAAGCAATAGGTCAACTATATTTGGCGTATGGAATGATTGTAAGGTGTACATGTCCGACTGCCAGGTTTCATCTGACCTTGACCTTTATTTCATGGTTCATTGAACATTTTTTAACTTTTGTGTTTTTGTCCAGGTTTTATTTGACCTTGACTTATTGGTCAGTGTTAAGTGTTCATGGTTTTGTCAGTTAATCAAATACTATAAGTAGTAGGTCAACCATATTTGGTGTATGGAATCATTGTAAGGTGTACATGTGTGTTTGGCAGGGTTAATCTGATCGGACCGTGAGTATAGGGCTTTCACGGTTGACAAAATAGCCGTTTTGACAAGTTAACATGAGTCTAACAACTCCTACGATTTTATCTCTACTGTAGCGAATGGTATCTTGTGAACACTATGCCAGTACTATTGAAACCGTATATCCTAAGCTGCTATACTAGTACTATTGAGACCGTATATTCTAAACTGCGATACCAGTACTATTGAGACCGTATATCATAAGCTGCTATACCAGTACTATTGAGACCGTATATCCTAAACTGCGATACCAGTACTATTGAGACCGTATATCCTAAACTGCTATACCAGTACTATAGAGACCGTATATCCTAAGCTGCTATACCAGTACTATTGAGACCGTATATCCTAAGCTGCTATACCAGTACTATTGAGACCGTATATCCTAAGCTGCTATACCAGTACTATTGAGACCGTATATCCTAAGCTGCTATACCAGTACTATAGAGACCGTATATCCTAAGCTGCTATACCAGTACTATTGAGACCGTATATAATAAGCTGCTATACCAGTACTATTGAGACCGTATATACTAAACCGCGATACCAGTACTGCAATACTGCTATCAGTAACAGGATAAACAAAACGGGTTACAGGATATAATTTAATATGGTGATATATATATATCTTTTACGTAAGTTACTATTACCAAAAACAAAATGACAAAACGACAAAAGTAAAACAATATGCGAGGTAATTACTTGATGTTGGGTTTATTAGAAAGAGAAAAACAAAATAATGAACATTATGAACTGCTATCTTAGACTAACGTTGCTGGTGGTTATTTTAATAACATTTGAAAACCAATTATTAACGGTATTTTTTGGTACAACATGTAAAAATTGACGAACAATCCACCAATACACAGAATAAATATATAGAAGTTTTTACTCTTAAAAACTACCTCATTGGCCATGAACATTGAACGATTTTTACCGAGACCTTTCCTAATTAGCTGAAAATTCCTTTTAAACATGGTAATAGGAGTGGCAAAATATTGCAACACCTATCAAAAAATGTTTCAAATTATTCTTGTATGACATTATCAAGATTGCAATCTTTTATATGTTCTTCCAAAAGAAATGTTTGTTTTGATTTGCTTATAAAGAATTCGACTTCTTCTTAAAATGACACATATAATTTTTTATCATACCTCCTATACATTTCTAGGAATATGATTGGTTAAAAGCAACCGCGTGGAGACCGTGTATATTTCATATAGGTTTAGTAGGCGTGGTTTATTTCAATACACGGTTAATTAGTAGAGTAGTGTTACGTCCCTTTGTAAAACAAGACGGTGTTGAGGAAAAATCTGAAAGGTTTCAACAGACGAAGATATTGATGATGAACGATGATTACTTTAGATTTGTTGCCTTACTCGGCAGTATTCGACACACTGCTTTGGTTGCCTTACTCGGCAGTATTCGACACACTACTTTGGTTGCCTTACTCGGCAGTATTCGACACACTGCTTTGGTTTCCTAAGTTAGCTAGCTTCACGTAGTAGCGAGCACTTTCTGACATTGATTTCTTTGTTTCAGTTAGTGGACATCGTGTAGGTAGTTGTAGTGTGAAGTTTTTATTTTACTTTGTATTACTTTTCTAACATTTGGCCTTGCGGTCATAAAACTTTTGAGTACGATTATCGTACTCAGACTCAAAAATCAACCAATCATAACACAGTTTTATTACCTAAAGCACTGGCCTAGACAGGCTAAGCGGAAGTTTGTTTGCAGGTTAAACTGGTTACACCCGACCACATGTTGTACCAATACCAATCTACACCATGTGTTGTTCGTTTTTTTTTTTTTTTTTTTTTTTGTTAGTCCTTGTTTTAACATCAATTTTGTAGGAGAATTCGCATTTTGGTGGTTTCTGTGAATAGTTGTATCGTCCAATAGTTTTCGTAAATATAAAAGTAAAGAGATGTAGTGTGATTGTCATTGAGACAAATATCAAATAAGTCCAAATAGCGTAGATTGAAGCATCTATAGGTCATTACACGGCCTCCAACAATGAGGAAACTCCGTACCGTATAGTTGGCTATAACATGCACCGGCACAAATTACTTAAAACCTTTTCTAAAGTTTTCCATAGATATAAAGATTTTGTTTGAAGTTTGATTTCAAACGGGATAGCATATATTAATTTTTACGGAGATGTTGTTTTACAGAGCCCGGATATTTAGAAACGATCCGGGTAAACTTATCGATCCTTTGAATAAACTTATTCCAAAAGGTTACCAATTCAACTGTAATCAGATCTTTGAATATTGTTTTTATTGGTATTAATATTGAATTTGTTATCAGTAAATTAAAATCAAACTAAATATCATTTTTATATACATATGTACATTCATGGCTCTTCAATCTGTCGATACCTGTAGCTTGGCATTGCACAAGGTCATGTTTGTTTGAATGTTAATGACATGTTTACACCAAATTCATTGGATGTTGGATATACTGATTGATATCTTAGTCTTAGATGCATGATTT